CACTAGGATCAATACAAGCTATTGAACAAGTTAATCAAGTCCTCCTGTGGGAGTATTATTGCCCCTGAGAAACAAAAAAATCTTTGAATAATGCTGTCACATCCAAACTCAAGCCAAAAATGTCCCAAATAAAAAAAATGTCTTACTGATTTCTGAATAATAAACCCTTTGCTTTATGTATGTTTAATAAATTGATGCAAACATTTATAGAGATGCTTTTCTGCTCTGCACTAAATGTGACCAAACTGGAAAGAGTAGTGTGGAAAGATTATATGTGCCAGCTTTACAGGCACTCTTAAGATATGATTTACAGAACAAAAAACGCTTCTGTTTCTATTTGTCAAGAAACAGGGAAATTTGTGAAATTTATCATAAAGCTTCAACTCTATTGTAATGCTGTTAGGATTTTTTTGTGGATGAGGAGCACCACCTTGTGGTGAAAAAGATCCTTTATACTGCTGATATTAGCTTGCAGTCCTAATGAAATTCCAGAGGTTCATATAATCATTATTTTGCTTGGCCCCTCCAAAAAAAAAAAAAAAAAAGAGAACAATATCTAAATGTAGCATAACAACAAATTCTGATGCATATATGAAAGTGTTATCTTACTTACAAGTGCATCAGTGTCAACTTGGAGTGATGCCAGGAAAAACATGGATTTAAACCTGAACCTGATATTTGAAACTGCAGAAGTCCAAAGAAATAAATAGACCACAGCATGTGATTCACCGTAGTGCTTTGTGTGGATATCAATGTGGACTTGGTTGCCACATCATATTTTAAGCCTTTAAACAAGTGCATGTGTTTATTATGCAATAAGAAGAATGGGAAAATAGATTGAGATGTTTCTAAGGGTAATTACAAAAGGAATCTCTTTCCTCTTAGTCCCAGACCTAAACATTTATTCAGGGTTGTATTTAAAAGGAAGACAAAGAGAGGCAGTAATTCATACAGTAGCCATCTAATGTTAGATTATATCTCTTGTTAGTCCAGCTATGTCATTACAATCAGCCAATTGAGATTAGCAATTGAGATTAAAATGGTCCCGTACCTTGCTAAATTTGTAAATATTTCATACTCAATGCCCACTCTGTCCTCCTTCCCCATGGCTTCTTGTGCTACAATGTCTCCCATGACTATCTCTGCCTTCTGAAAGCTTGATTCGGCCTCTGCTAAAGTTCACATGGTTAAGTGAATTAACATATGACTGTCATTATTCCATCATCTGAAACAACAAGGTTTGTATGATGAATTATCAAATTGTACTACTTTGCTAAGTTTAATAATGTCATAAACAGAAAAATATATAGTGCTTCCAGTAACTTACCGCGGGAAGAAAAAATCTTCGGTCTGTCCAATGATTGTAAAGTCATTAGGTCCGTCAGACTGAAGATATTTTAGCGGTAATAATTAAGACCCATCGAATCTGAATTTAAGACATTTTAAGACTTTTTAAGGACCCGCGGACACCCTGTTCTATAAAGGATTTGAACACTTAAGATGCACTTAAAAATGAACTATGAATATGATTGCATTAGATGCTTATGTAAACAAGGATATTTTCCAAGCAGTAGAGGCACTTCCAAGAGTCTGGTGTACGGTAAGGAAGCAGTTGAGGTAGCTCATTCTCTCCTCCTGACTGGAACGGAGTACTTCATGTGCTTTTGATGCATGTTCTTGTGCCTGATGTGCCCAACCTTGGAAATATGAGGTCATAGATTGTTAGGAGGTAATTAATGTGCTACATTTTTATATGTTTACATTATATGACTGCCTAATAAATCCATTTGCATGACGCACAGTCGATGAAGGGTTTATTTTTCAATAGTAACAAGCTCACTGTTCATTATTCTCATTATTGCTCACTGTACATTACTTCTATCTCTTGAAACGCATTAAATAATGAACAATTTTACCTTTGTATTGCAAGTAAGCTTTAGCCAGTCTTGACTGAGCTTGAGCCACTGCAAAATGCTCATTTCCATAAACCAGTCTGCTCAGTGCCAGGCAACGCACAAGCTCTTGGATACAGGGGTCATACTGCAAAGGTTGAACATGCATAAAACTTTAAACTAGAGAAATGAAACAAAACATACAATGAATATAATGATTTGTATGTGTCTAGCTGTTTTTTGTTTTTAAAAGGGTCATATGATGCTTTTTTAAAGATCATTATTTGTTAGAATGAGCCGTTTTAGGGGGGCGTGGCAGAGTCTTAACTTTGATAAAGAATATCTCTTTGGTTTTGAGACTTTAGTCTTTGCAACTTCAGGGATCTTATCTATGCACAATCAGCTTGTAACACTCCAAAGAGAAAGGAAAACTTGAAATCGCATCATATGACCCCTTTAAACCAGACCTTTGGTTCTGTACTGGAGAATAAGAACATGCCTGGGGAGCTTTATGTAATTCATAATGGATCATACTGAAATGTTGGTGCACTAATAAGGTTACATAAATCAGTAGGAGAGAATAACATTAGAGTCTGAGTCATGTATTTCTGGGTATAAGATTATTCCATGTGTACCTCTTCGCTATCAGCCAAAGACTGAGCCCGTCTCTCACAAAGCGATAGTTTCTCTGCAGGAGTCATCATACTGTAATTCTTCACATCTGTTTTCTGTGAGATGATTGTTGAATCTGTTTCCTGCAGGGATTCTCCTGAACTGGCACTGCTGCTCATGTTGAAGCTGGTGAATCTGTAAAAGTTCAGAGCTCATTTGTGTCTCAAAAGAGTGAATTGGCTACCTAGACAGCAGTTCTGGGCAGATACTGTAATTGAATATGTTTTGAGAAACATCCCACTTTCGTTGCATGTCAAGATGCACTGAACGTGAATGGTTGCTGAGAGACTGTCAGCCCCTAACATTCTGCTAACATCTCCTGTTGTGCTCCACTCAAGAAATAAAGTCAAGATTTTAAACAACATGAAGGTGAGTAAATGATGACAGTGTTCTTCTTTTTGGATGAACTACATCTTTAACAGCGACATGAAAATGGATACATACGATTCATCGAGCGCAGCCACAGAACAGCTCTGCTGTGATGCGCGAAACGATCCGCTGTGCGGTGCCAGACTCATTTTAATGGCGAAGGCAAATAAAACTCAACCGTCAATTCATAAACTGACAACTGATGGTAATAATTAGTTCTCCTAACAAGAACTCTCTTAAGACTGTTATGGTCTTTTCAGGAACCATGGAAGGTAGAGCTGTGTGCAACCGAGTAACGAATATCACGAAAACCCAAACAAACGCTGTAATTGGTTGATTCCCACACATGGGTGAGTCATGTGACTCTCAAGACTGCATTAATTAATAAAATATTGCATTTTAACGTTAAATCGATCCATGCTGTTTCTTTTCTCATTATTTCAGTACAACTGAATTGAACTTTGCCATTAATAAATTTGACTAAATTATCCAATGTATGCACATGTGTGTAATGCATTTATAGCATCTAGTCAATAACTTATAGTCAATGTTTTTTTTATATATATATAAAAAAGCTGCCAACCTGTGAGGGACAGTGCATTCTGACCATAGTTACACTTTTTTTTTTTCTATTGTGAAAATATATAAGAGAAAAATATATAAATAATTGCACGTTAATGTCTGTAGCAGATTTTATTTTGAGGATATAATTACAGGTTAAATCAATTGATTTTGATGGGATTGTGTTCCTCATAATAAACTAAGGCCCCACTAGGCTATATGAGCTATATGGGCCATTGCCAAGTGTATCTATCATAAATGGTTACTCATAAATCTATTTATGAATACTCACATTATGATAATAAGCCCACATTATGTTGTGAGTAGATGACGGAATGCAGTGCATTATGGGCCGGTATTCATACTTACAGGACTGTGAGCAATTCATCTGGTATGATTATGGAAGCCAGTCTAACATTAAAGATCAAATCTGTTGCATTTGCTTAAATGGCTTAAAGTGTTACATGCAAAGTATGCTAGTTTTTTTTTTCCAATTTAGTGTAATTTAGTACATGGAATGAGGGAAAGGGGGTGCAATGGAGAAGGCAGTAATGTCAAAACCATTTGGTCCTAGCTAAATATACATTTTAAAAAAGAAGAAAAAAAAAAGATGGAATGACCCTACTGGCTTTCACTGAGAGAAATATGAACAGAACAAATGGCAACTAAAAGAGGCGATTACATTCCAAAGAGTACTTTCTCCTTTCTGTACATCTATCTATCTATCTATCTATCGATCGATCGATTGACTGACAATTCTTAAATCGTCAAGATAAACCTTATCCTTTTTTTAAAGTGACACAAGCAAGAGATGTGGGAGAGTAGAAAATGTGTCCGTCTTTTTAAATAATAAAAATAATAATAATAACTTTATATTTTATATCTTGCCTAAATTTGAACATTATGCCCTGTCATGATTTTAATACCCACAGATGCTTTGACCTGCTGTGTTCAAGTAATGACTCATTTCTAAGCAAAAGATATGTGTGGCAAACTCAGAGAGGCATTCATTTCATCATCATTCCCTTTATCATTTTGAATTGTTTGCTGTTCTTTTCTCTCCTCATCTGTGTAAAGTTAGGCTATAATGAAGTGCAGTCTGCTTTACATTAGTGTTCACATGCTCCACACAAACACTAATATAATACAATTTGCTCTATTCAAGTGGGGATTAGCCATCAGTTTCCTTTCCATCCCTTTTTAACGTTTTATACGAAAAGGTCTAGCTGTTAAGTATTGTTTTCTCCATTGGAATTTGTTACATATAGTTCTAGAGGGATCCAAACATTGCGCCTACATTTTGGACGGCATCTTTATGCATGTCTATAAATCAAAGGCATCTCATAACATTAAGTTCCATTCATCACCTTCATCTTTACCACGTCTTCAAATACAAAATCCACTGGCGACAGAGAGGTTAACCCAAGCAGTGCAAAAATAGGATCGCGTTCATGTCACTCCCTCAAAGACTGTAGGTTCACACCTCTTTTCAGGTTTACATCTGGACTGAGCTGCACAACCTGCTCCCCCTCAAAATAGTCCTCCGCGTACATCCACAGCCCTGCTTTACTTATCTACAGCTGGAAGATGAATTATTGGCTCTCTGCGATTTTATTTGCAGCAGTGTAATAGTTAAATCAGTGCCGAATGCGTTATTTGATGTGGTGTGTGGTGCCTAAGCTTGAACAGTCCTCTACAGTGAGAAGATGGCGTCGGACGGAGCGAAAGGGGAGCAGCCAGCTCCGCTACAAACACTGGTAACCACTGGCCATGGAAGCGTCGAGGCGGTGAGATACATTTAAGCATAAAATGACATCTTGTCAGCCGCAATGATGATTACCGCGAATGTTAATTATGACAGGGAATGAATGGAGTTAATAGAATAGGAATCGTCCGGTGCTGTGATCATAACTATCAGTGAATGTGTTACGGTGGTCCGTCTGTATATGGAGGAGACTGAAATATTTTGGGGGGAATACTTTGTTAGAATTTGACATTAAGATTTCCTATTGTATCCTTTATTTCGTGCAGAGCACAATACTGTATAAAGTGCCAGATTATTTTTTCTTATTGTATCTTTAATGTGCAGCTGCGCACGATTTAATATGGTAAGCCTAGAAGCTGGTTACCTTCCAAATATTGAATATTTAACAGTCGCGTTTATAATAGGTGCTATCTGTTGTCACGTTTCGAAATACCATGATAATTGAAATCAAGGTATTATTATCAACTGCTTTTTAGCATGTTTAATGTAATGCAATTTAGAATTGCATTTTAGAATCTTTAATAATCATATATATGTATATATGTGCATATATATAAGTTATTATTATTGCTATTGATATATATTGTATTCTTGAAATTATACGTCAAATAAAATATACAGAAGAAATGTATGTGTGTGTGTATATAAAATAATAATTAATAATAATAATTTATGCATTTAGCAGACGCTTTTATCCAAAGCGACTTACAGTGCATTCAGGCGCTACATTTTTTACCAGTATGTAAAAAATACATATATATAAACACACACACACACACACACACACATACAAATATATATGTCAGACATACAAATAATTATATCAGTATAATACATTTATAAAGTATAATAAATTAAGTAATAAATTGGATAATTAATTAAATATTAAAATATATG